CAGCCGCTGCGGCCGCTGATCTTGCTGTTGCAGCTGCAGCTGCACCAGCAGCAGCTGCTGTTGCAGCTGCAGCAACGCCCGCAGCGCCCGCAGCTGCAGCAGCAGCAGCAGCAGCAGACTAAGCTGTGGGGCCGCTACTGAGGTCCCCCAAACTGCTTATATCTGCCATTACACAAAAGGGGCACTGCCGCAGCTGCTCGTGGCTGAAGGCGTCGCACTCCCTGCAACGCAAACCGTAAACCGTAAACCCTAAACCCTAAACCCTAGATCCGAGGCCCCAAAGCCTGAACCCCAAGCCCTAAACCCTAAACCTCAGAGTCTAAACCCTAAACCCTAAGCCCTAAACACCAGTGACTGGAGCCTTGCGGGGTTTCTTACGCGCAAAAGATGCTGCTGCATTCAGTGCACCTGAAGGCTGCAGACACAGCAGCAGCAGCAGCAGAAGAGGCAGCAGCAACAGCAGCAGCCAATGAACCCTAAATGAACCAAATGTGCAGGCAAACGAGAAGCAGTTGAGATGTGAAGACACAGTTAGGATTACTAAAGAAGCAAAGGCTAACGAGCATCAGTACCTGCAGCAGCAGGTCTGCTGCTGCTGCTGCTACTGCTGCTGCTGTTTCTGCCCTGCTGCTGCTGCTGCTGCTGCTGCTGCTCCTGCTTCTGACCCTAGGAGCAGCAAAGGCAGCTGCACGCACGCAGAGAGCAACAGCAGCAGCAAGAACAGCAGCAACAAGACAAACAGCAACAGCAACAACAAGCAGAAACAGTAGCAGCAACAACCAAAACAGCAGCAACGGCAGCGACAGCAACAGATGCAGCAGCGGAAATAGCAGCAGCTACAGCAGCAGCAGGTCTATATGCAGCTCATACCGCTCTCAAGGGGTCGGTTGCAGCAGCAGCACTTCGCATTTTTGGGAACAGACTCTAACTGCAGCAAAACAAAAACATTCAAAACAACAAACCCTAAATCCTAAACCCTAAACCCTAAACCCTAGATGAGGTCCCACCGCCCCCACCATTTGTGCACCTGCAGATCTACAGACACGAAGCCCTAGCTTAACCCTGCCCAAACCCTAAACTCCAAACCCTAAACCTTAAACCCTAAGCCCCAAACCCTAAACCCTAAATCCTAAACCCTAAACCCCAATGAAAGTTACCGCTTCAAATGGCTCCGGGAGACAGAGGCTGTGGAAGGAGCGGGAGACATCAGCAGGCGACAGCAGCGGCAGCGAGCAGCACTGCAGCAGCACAACAAACCCTAAACCCTAAACCCTAAACCCTAGGCCCGGAACCCCAGGCCTCAAAACCTAAACCCTAAAGCCTGGGATCCAAACCCTAAACCCTAAACCCTAACTGCTCTAAAAGGCGCCTTGGATGAAATGAAATACGACGGCCCCTGAAGGGCCCAGGATTAGCAGCAACAGCAGCAGCAGCAGCAAAGAAACAGCAGCAGCAGTGACACTTTTACTATCTCCTTTCGCAGCAGCAGCAACACAGCCACAGCCACCAGCATCACAAGGTGCAGCAGCAAAGCATTAGCAGCAGCAGCAGAACTAGCAGCGGCACTAGCAGCGACACTACCAGCGGCAGCACAGCCATTAGCAGCAGTGTCAGCAGCAACAGCAGCAGTAGCGGCAGCACTGCACTATTATTGGCAGCATACTTGTTCTAGTTTCAACTCTGTTTCTTTTTTCCATTTCTTCTTTTTTTATTCTTACTATCATATTTACATTAAAATTGCTCTCCAGCCTTGCTATAATTAATTAACCCTCTAGTCCATTATTATTGCTGTCATTATTCACTGCTGCTGCTGCTGCTGCTGCCGCTAGCGTTGCTGCTGCTAGTGCTGCTACTAGTCCTGCTGCTAGTGCTGCTGCTGCTGCTGCTAGTGCTGCTGCTGCTGCTGCTAGTACTGCTGCTGCTGCTAGTGCTGCTGCTGCTATTGCTGCTGCTGCTGCTGCTGCTGCTTGTGCTGCTGCTGCTGCTGCTTGTGCTGCTGCTGCTGCTACCTTGCAGGTGGCGGGGAGGTGGCAGAGCCTGCTGCAGCAAAGTGGACAAACGAGAGCAGCAAAAACGAGGGCCCCGTGGCAGCAGCAAAGAGCAGCAGTAGAAGAAGTTTTAAAAGCTGGGAAGCCAATTCGCACCAAACTCGGCTGCAGCCCCTCCAGCCTGCAAACCCCACACACCTGCTGCTGCTGCTGCTGTTGCTGCTGGTGCTGCTGTTGCTGTTGCTGCTGCCGCTGCTATTGCTGCTGTTGCTGCTGTTGGTGCTGGTGCTTTATCTGGTGCGTGCGGCGTGAGAGAGCTCTGCAGAAGCCTAGGGGAGAGGAGGCGCTCGACGGCTCAAAATTTAGGGTTTAGGGTTTAGGGTTTAGGGTTTAGGGTGACCAGGGTGGGGGCTGCGTTTGCTGCAGCAGCAAAGAGCGCAAGTGCTCTGCATTCATCGCGACTCCGAAGGCCCCATCAGTTTGTGTCGCTAAAGTCTGTTGCAGAAACAAATAAATAGAAAACAAGTTTTCATTCTTTCGACGGTTTAGGGTTTAGGGTTTAGGATTTAGCGTGTAAGGTGTAGGGTCTAGGGTTTAAGATTCAGATTTTAGGGTGGAGGGTCTCGGGATTAGGGTTCAAAACGTAGGGTCTAGGGTTTAGGGTCTAGGATGTGTGGGCTAGGGTTTAGGCTTAGGGTTTAGGGATTAGGGCTAGAGTTTAGGGTTTGGGGTTTAGGGTTTACCTTTAGAATGCGGACTTCTGGAGCCAAACTGACAACAGAACATCTGGCTTTCATTTTCTTTAATTCATTAATAGACTCTTCAATGCTCCTGCAGCCCACAAACACGCAAAATTGCTGCTGCTGCTGCTGCTAGCAGCAGCGGCACCAGCAGCAGCAGCTGCACCAGCAGCAGCACAAGCAGCAGCAGGAGCAGTACCATCAGCAACAACACCGGCGACATAAGCAGCAGCAGCAGTACCATCGGCAACAACACCAGCGACATGAGCAGCAGCAGCACCATCAGCAGAGCCAACAGGAGCAGGAGTACCATCAGCAGCAGCAGCACCATCCGCAGCAGCAGCACCATCAGCAGCAGCAGCAGCAGCAGCAGACTTACCCCACATCGCAAGTCTGGGTGGAGCCGTACACCACCAGCAGCTCCCGGGAGCAGTACGGCGGCACTGCTGCTAGCAGCGCCCTGGCTCTCTGCGCAGCAGCAGCAGCAGCAGCAGCAGTGTCAAGGAGCATCCAGCAGCAGCAGCAGCACCAAAAAGTAGCAGCAAGTAGCACCACCAGCACGCAGCAGCAAGCAGCAGCAAGTAGCAGCAGTGAGCGACAGTAAGTAGCACCGCCAGCACGCAGCAAGTAGCAACAACAAGCAGCAGCAAACAGCAGCAGCAGCAGCAGCAGCAGTACGTCGAGTCCGTTTTTGAGGGAAGGTGCATGCGCGTTGGAAGCATTTCTTTTTCTTCTTCTGGCAATTAGGGCCCCCGAGATTTCCAAAATGTTGCTGCTGAAGTAGCTGGAGGGGCCCCTGCCGAGCAGCAGCCCGGGAGCTGCTGCTGCTGCTGCTGCAGGGGGCCCCCCGTCTGCTGCTGCTGCTGCTGCTGCTGTTGCTGCTGCTGCAGGACACAGCACTTCTGCTGCAGAGTCTGCCATGTACACCAACGCGATCTGCGCCAGAGGGTTTTGCAAAAGGAAAGAAGAGAAAAACTCCTGCAGAAAGCAAACCCTAAACCCTAAACCCTAAACCCTAAACCCTAAACCCTGGAAGCCGCGTAAACCCCAAGCCCCAAAGCCTCTAAACCCCACAACTCCAAGAGCCTTGCACCCCGCGGCCACCCGCCCAACCCTAAACCCTAAACCCTAAACCCTAAAACCTAAACCTTAAACCCTAAACCCTCGCGGCTCGCCTCGAGGGCCTGAGTGGCGCAGGTGAGTCTGTCGGGTTTGAAGTCAGTTTCTTTCATTGCTTCTGTTGCATCAATTAAAACAATTAAACTTCTGAATTTGCATGCATAAAAAAAGCAATTTGCATGCAAATAAAAAGCAATTTGCATGCAAATAAAAAACAGTTTGCATGCAAATAAAAACAAATTTGCATGCAAATGGATAAACAAATTTGCATGCAAATGGAAAAACACAAACCCTAAAACGCCCCCAAAATTTGGACCCAGGGGAGTATGCACAAATCCTAAACCCTAAACCCTAAACCCTAAACCCTAAACCCTAAACCCTAAACCCCAAAGCCTAAACCCCGAGGACAGCGAAGAAGCTACTGATACTCAGCAGGCATTTCAATTCAAATAATTACCTATTTATTTATTTATTTATTCATTTGTTTGTTTATATTTGTTATTTATTTATTTATTTATTTATTTATTTATTTATTCATTTATTTATTTATTTGGCTTCAACTGGGATCGGGATTACTCTAACATCGCTTTATTTTCAACAATACGCTCCTGGGCAGCAGCGACAGCAACAGCAGCAGCAACAGCAGCCGCAGCAGCAGCAGCAACAGCAGCAGCAGCAGCAGCACCTCAGGAGAGCCCTTTTGATGTGAGTTGGCCTTTGTGCTGCCTCTTTGCTGCTGCTGCTCGAGTCCTTTTCTTTTATTACTTTCAGCTGCCCCTCAGCCTCCACAAGACACTCCCAAGACCTGCAGCAGCAGCAGCAGCAGCAGCAGCAGCAGCAGCAAAGGCGCCTGTCGTTGTCCCGCGTTTCTGCGAATTGCTTTTTCACTTTGCCATCTTTTAAAAGGCCATTTCAAACGCCATTTTGTTCATTCTTTCAATTCAAATAATTAATCAATGAATTTATTTATTTATTTATTTATTTATTTATTTATTTCTTGCCTTTCTACTTCTCTTTCCCAAGCATATTGGCCATAAGCGTCTTCTTCAACTGCTGCTGCTGGCTCGTCTGCTGCGGTGTCTAGACACTGCAGCACCTGGTCCACTGACGGGTAGTCAGCCTGCAGCAGCAGCAGCAGCAGCAGCAGCAGGGGGAGGCACTTGGAAGCAAAAAGGTCGAGGAGAAAACGCAAAAGGAGAAAAAGCAAAAGCAGAAATTCAGGTGTACACGCAGCTGCGGTGTATAGGCAGCTCTGGGGTGTATAGGCAGCTCTGGGGTGTATAGGCAGCTCTGGGGTGTATAGGCGGCTCTGGGGTGTATAGGCAGCTCTGGGGTGTACAGACAGCTCACGGGGTTTCTTTGATTCATTTTTTTCTTTTTGTCTTTTTGTCTTTTCAAAAAAATAAACCCAAAAGGGTTTTGCTGCTGCTTGGCCTTTTGTTTTCTTTATATTTCCATTTACCTATTTATTTATTTATTTATTTATTTATAATTTATAATTTTTATAACTTTTATTTTCGTTTATTTCCATTTATTCATTTATTCTTTTTTGTGCATTGCGTCCGCAGCAGAACTCTGAGGCTAGAGGAAATGGTGAATTAATGCTGCTGCTGCTGCTGCTGCCGTTGCTGCTGCTGCTCTGTCACTGCTGCTGCAGCTGCAGCAGCTGCCGCTGCTGCTGTGGGCTCTGGGAGTGATGCTTCGCGGCCTTCCTCCCCAAATGCTGCTGCTGCTGCTGCTGCAGCCACTGTTGCTGCTGCTGCTACTGTTGTTGCTTCTTTTCTCTCTTTTCAATTCACTTCGCAGCAGCCTTTTGCTGCTGCTGCTGCTGCTGCTGCTGCAGTGCCCCGAAGATGGACAAGGGGGCCCCTGGGGAGCAGCAGAGAAAAGGAAGAAGGGGAGAAGGAAAGGAAAATAAAAAGAAACGAATTTAAAGATAAAATAAAATAAAATTAAATTAAATTGAATTAAATTAAATTAAATTAAAAGTAAATAAACTATTTAAAATCAACTCAGCTCTCTTTCCCCGAGTCCAAGAGGAAAACAAATAAATCTAAACAACTAATTTTCCCAATTTTGAAATAAATTCGTTTCTTCATAAATAGACTTTTTGAAGCTTCTTCTCAAATTCCTAAACCCAAACAAACCCTAAAAGAAGGGGCCCTTCAAGAGGCCCCCCAGGGGCCCCTAAAAGGGGCCCAAAGGGGCCCCAAGGGGCGCCTTAGAGGGTACAGATATGGGGGCCCCCAGGGAGGCCTCCAGAAAGAGGTCCCAGGGGCCCCACTGGGGCCTCCTGTGCAAATTCTCAGTTGAAAATGATTAAAAATTGAAAATAAAAGAACTTTTTTGTTCAAATAAAAGAATTAAAATGTAAATTTCAACTTTTGAGTTTTTTTTGAATTCGGTGTTACAGGCTATACAGCTGACAGCCAGGACTCTGGGGTGTACATGCAGCTTGTCCGGATTTAGATGAAGCAGATTTCAATTCAAAAGGAAATAAAGAAAATCATTTTTATTTTTATTTTTAAATTCAAAAAAGAATTTCATTCCTACTTTGAATTTGAGAATTAAAATTGGAGAGTGGACGGACCGGGGATTGATCCCGGGACCTCCTGAATGCAAATCAGGCGTGATACCACTACACCATCCGCCCTTGGCAACCCGTTGATTTTTATTTTTGTTTTTCATTTAAAGTTGAAAACAAATATTTAATTACTTTACTTAATTGTTTTATTTATTTTATTTAATGAATTGCTGCTACTATGCTGCTGCTGCTGTCCATTTTTTCCTTAATTGCTGCTGGCACGTGCCTCTAGCGCAGCTGCCTCACGGCTACTGTGTGGCTGACTTGCTGCTGCAGCAAAATGCTGCTGCTGCTGCTGCTGCAGCAGCTTTCGCTGTTGCTGGGGTTACTTTTGCTCCTACTGCTGCCGCTGCAGCTGCGGCTGCTGCTGCTGCTGCTACTGTTCTCGAGGTGCGCAGCAGGTCTGAGTTCTAATTAAAACCCGCGGGATAAAATTAAAGAGAATAACCAGCAGCAAAAACAGTTTCCAAAAAAGAAGCAGCAAAAGAAAAGTAGCAGCAACATTTCTGTTGGGGGGCCCCCAGGGGCCCCTTACCATGGGGGGCCCCCAGGGGGCCCCCTGGGGGCCCCTCCATGAAGGGCCCCTGCTGCTTCGAGGGGCCCCTTTGTGGGTACCTAATGCCCTAGGGGGAACCTAGCTGGGGCCCCACACTTGGGGGCCCCTAGCTGGGGGCCCCCAAGTGTGGGGCTCCTCTTTGAGGGAAATTCTTTTCTTTATTATAATCGGCAAAGAAGATAAATCAATATATGATTTAAAAGAAGGGAATATAATGCCACAAAGGGAAGTGCAGCAGCAGGGGCCCCCAAGGGCACAGTCAAACCCTCTCGGGACCCCATGGGGGCCCCAGAGCGCCCCATAAAAGGGTACTGGGGACCCCCAGGGGCCCCAAAAGCCCCCAAGTAGATCCCCAAGGGGCCCCTCAAAGCCTCCTAGAGGCCCTCGAGGGGCCCCACAGGGGCCCCCCAAATCCGTTATTGGCTATAGGGGCCCCCGGGGGGCCCCAAAAGGGTTAGGGGGGCCCTAAAGGGTTTTAGACAGCAGAAAGAAGAGGCTTCGGTTTGCACGGTAGAGTTTGATGGCTGTGACTTTCTGTGGAGCCCTTCAAAAGCCTCAAAACCTAAACCCTAAACCCTAAACCCTAAACCGTAAACCCTGGGCCTCCGGGTCACTCCGGTTCTTTTTAGCTTGAGTTGGCGCTGCTGTTCCCTCGGCTGCTTTCTGGCGCCATTGTGAACGTGGAAGGGCCAGTGTTATCTACAAGCCCGCCAAACCCTAAACCCTAGACCCTAAACCCTAAACCCTAAACCTCAAACTGTAGCCGCCCTGCGGTGCTGCCGACTGCTGGGCTAGGGCATCTGGCTGCAGCAGGTGGATTGGCGAGACAAAATAAATGATTGAGCAAAAATCAAAAGGTAAATTAAAAATAAATAATTAATTAATGAATAGATAGAGCAAATAAATAGAAAATGGCGGAGGCTCGCCGGGTGTACAGACAGTTCGGGGTGTGCAGACGGCGCGGCGGCGCAGTGTATGTACACCTCAGGCGATGGGGGCACCACTAGGGCTCAAAATGGCTCATTTAGTTCGCAATAACATTTATAAAGAATAAAATTAAATAAATAAAAAGAAATTGAATTTTATTTGTCGCATTTTCAGGCAGAAGCCTCCGCGCTGGCGCTGGGGGCCCCCGCGCAGACCCGAGAGCTGCCATTCTGCAGGTTGCTGCAGTTGGGGGTTTATTCTTCCAATGTCCCTAAACCCTAAACCCTAAACCCTAAACCCTAGGGCGGTGCCGGCTAAACCCGAAACCCTAAACCCTCAGTTCTCTTCCTTCCAGTCGGAGGCGGCAGCGCCGCGGCTCGCAACTCGCATGCAGCGCCGACCCTAAACCCTAAACCCTAAACCCTAAACCCTAAACCCTAGCAGCTTCGCCTGGCTCTGCGCGCGCCGCTTCTTGGGGTTTCCTGCCGTGCCGCTTTGCAGCCGCTGCCTGCGTATGTCTCCGCAGCAGCAGCAGTCTTGACTCAGACTCAAGCAGCAGCAGCAGCAGCAACAGCAGCAGCAGCAGCAGCAGCAGCAGCAGCAGCAAAGCCAATGCTGGACTACTGCTGCTGCTTCACCCGCGGGGGGGTTTTGCTGTGGGGCTTTTGCTTCTCCAAGGCGCCCCTGAAGTCCTTATGTCAGCTCATTGAGAATGTCCTCTTAGAGGTAAACCAATCCCCATCTAGCTAGCTGGCTAGCTAGCTAGCTAGCTAGCTAGCTAGCCATCTAGCTAGCTAGCTAGCTAGCTAGCCAATTAGCTAGCTAGACACCAACTCTTAGTTGCAATCCCAAGGAGCTGCTCGCCTGGAAACTGCCCCAGCTAGCTAGCTAGCTGGCTAGCTAGCTACCCTAGCTAGCTAGCTAGCTAGCTAGCTGATCAACTAGCTAGCTAGCTGGCTAGCTAGCTAGCTAGCTAGCTAGGGAACCTGCTGCCCAGCTGGCCCTTGGGGCCCCACAGGGGGCCCCTTTTGGACCCTTTAGGGGCCCCCTGGGGCTCCTGTGCCATGGCTGCGGTATCTGCGTTTGCTTCTGCATGCTTCTCCTTTCTCTCGTGTCTGCTGCTGCTGCTGCTGCTGCTGCTTATGCTGCAGCAGCAGCAGCAGCAGCAGCAACGCAGAGGCCCGGCTCGAGAGTCGAAGGCACTGAGGATCGGCTGCAAGAGGGCCTCCCGCTGCTGCGTTTGCCGCTGCCGCCTTTGCTGCTGCTGCTGCTGCTTCGCTGCTGCTGCACTTGCTGCTGCTGCTGCTGTTGCTGCTGCGGTGCCTGCAGGAGCGCGCTGGCAGCAGCAGCGCGAACTTCGGGGGTTTGTCTTTTCAGTGGGTTTGTTTAAACCCTTTGCAGCTTTTTTTTGCTGCTGCTTATTCGGGGCTTCGAAATGTGGCTCTCGTCGATTTGCTGCTGCAGCAAACTGCTGCTGCCTTCGCGCAGCACGTGCACGGCCTCAGCGACAGTAAGCAGCAGCAGCAGCAGCAGCAGCAGCAGCAGCAGCAGCAGCAGAGGGTCTAGAAAGGGCCCCCGGGCTTCACAAGGGTTCCAAGGGACAGCAGAGGCGCAGCAGCAGGAAGTCCCGAAGCCCCTTGGGGGCCCCAAGGCTTATATCTCTCTTATGGGCTGCTAGCTGCTTAGGGTTTAGGGTTTAGGGTTTAGGGTTTAGGGTTTAGGGTTTAGGGTGTTAGGGCGCTGTTCGCTTCTCTTCAGCGACAGCGACCCCGCGTCTCCCTCCAAAACTCCGCGATCAGGGTTTAGGGTTTAGGGTTTAGGGCTTGGGGCCTAGGGTTTAGGGCCTGGCTGAGGGTTTAGGGTTTAGGGTTTAGGGTTTAGGGATTAGGGTTTAGGGTTTGGCGCGCAGTGCTGGACTACCCGCTGAAGGTGGGCGGCGGCCCCGACCCTTTTGACGAGACCTTTTTGCACATATTGGCTCGGGCGCAGCAGAAGCGGCAGGAGGCGCCACTGCAGCAGCAGCAGCAGCAGCAGCAGCAGCGGCAGCAGCAGCAGCAGCACGGCAGAAACAGGGAGACCAAGCAGGCCAAAAAGACCAAAGACAAAGGGGGAAGCCCCAGTGAGACTGCAGTCCTGCTGCTGCTGCTGCTGCCGGCATATCTGCTGCTGCTGCTGCTGCCGGCATATCTGCTGCTGCTGTTGCTGCCGGCATATCTGCTGCTGCTGCTGCTGCTGTCAACGCATCTGCTGCGGCTGGAGCTGCTAATGTATCTGCTGCTGGTGTCACCAGCTGATCTGTTGCTGCTGTGCTGCTAGCATGTGTGTTGCTGCTGCATATTTGCTGCTGCTGCAGCTTTTGCTCCTGCTGCAGATGCAGCATGCATGTACTGCTGCTGCTTCTTATCTGCTGCTGTTGTTGCGTCGTTGCCTGTGCTGCTGCTGCTGCAGAGGCTGCTGCTGCTGCTGGCTACTGGACCGAAAACAAAGTGACAAAGAAAAGCATGGAGGCCCTTGACTACAGGTGCATTTGCTGCTGCTGCTGCAGTTGCTACTATTGCTGCTGTTTCTGCTGCTGCTCTTGCTGCTGCAGAAGGGAACAAAGAAGTGAGTTCTCATTCGCGTTGCATCCTGTAGCGCTCGCCGTGCTGCTGCTGCTGCTGCTGCTGTTGCTGCAGCAAGAAGACAGGGAACGGCGACGAGGCTGCGCATGCAATAGAGCGCAAAACATATGGTGCGTTCAGCAGATAGGTTAGCAGCAGCAGCAGCAGCAGCAGAGATGTTAGCAGCAGCAGCAACAGCAGATTTGTTAGCAGCAGCAGCAGCAGCGGGAGCAGTTGTGTTAGCAGCAGCAGCAACAGACTGGGACTTTTGAAATAAATCGAAGTTGCACCTCTTTTGCATTTTTATTTCCATTTATATTTAATTCATTTCATTTCAATTTAATTAAATTTAAATAATTAACTTTAATTAAGTTAAATTAATTCGCTGCAGGTGCTGATTCGGACAGCCAGTCTTCTGAAGAGGAAACAGAAGCAGCAGCAGCAGCAGCAGCAGCAACAGCAGAAGGCAGCTGGCTCAGCTTCTTGCCCAAATCGCTGCAGAAAATAGCAGGTCTTTCTTTTTATTTATTTTTATTTTTATTTTTATTATTTTTATAATTTAATTGGTCTTCATTTGTTTTTTATTTGCTTGTTTGTTATTTATTTATTTTTCTCTTTTCTTTGTTTTGCCTGAATTTCTCGTTTTCATTTCCTTTACTTGAACTTTTGTATTTTTTATTTTTCTTTTAATTTGTCCTTTTGTTTCTCTCTTCACTTGCTTCTCTCGTTTCTTTCTTTTTTCCATTTTATTTTATTTTATTTAATTTTCATTTTATTTTTATTTTTATATTTATTTTTATTTAGACGCGCAGGTGTTTGTGTTTGGGGTGTCTGTACACCTCAGCGCTGGTCTCACCGCCTTCGACTCAAAAGATGAATTTTGCCGACTTTTCGTTATTAATCAATTAAATTAAATATATTTTTATATTTATTTGTTTATTTTCCTTTCATTGTTCTTTTGATTCTCATAAAGGCAATAAAGTCCTGGACGAAAGCGACATCGAAGAAGTCCTTCCGTACTTCCGACAGCACTTTTCCGGTGTGTACATACACCCCAATCTCTATTTTTATCGTTTTTTTCCTCTCTCATTTCTTTTTTCTTTTTCTACTTTTGCATTTCATCTATTTCATTTTCCCTGCATGTACCTCATTTTGTCTCCATTTGTCTCAATTTTTCGCTTTTTTCTTGTTCTTGTCCTTTTAATATCCTCTGCGCGTCCTTTAGTAATTCTTTTTTATCTGCTGCTTTGCTTCTGTTCTCTCCTTTTCCTGCTGTCCTTTTTTATATACTTTATCTTCTTCTTTTGTTTTTCTTTTCTGTCTTTTTATTTTCTCCTCTTCTTCACTTCTCTGCATTTGTCTTCCCCCCTACACTTGCTCGCCCCCCAACATCCCCACCCCCTGCTGCTGCTGCTGCTGCTGCTGCTGCTGCTGCAGCAAAGAACGTGGCTGAAGAGGTCACGGACTTGCTGCTGCTGAGTGTCAAAAAAAACCTCTTGGGCACCAGGACCCCCACTCTGGTGTCTGTACACCAGACGGTCAAGAGGGCTGTCAAAGAGGCCATTGTGAAACTCCTCACCCCAAAACGGTAGCCCCACACTGTGCATGCATTTTGCATGCAAAATGCATGCATGCATGCATGCAGTATGCGTGCATGCGTGCAGAATGCCATGCATGCAAAATGCATGCAAAATGTTACGCATGCATGCATGCCAAAAGCATGCATGCACACACGCTCCTGCACGCGCCAGCGCGCAAACCCAAAACGCAAGCATGCAAGCCCTCCGCAAGCATGCATGCCCCTTGCATGCACGTTGCACGCATGCACTTTGCATGCGTTTTGCATGCGTTTTGCATGCGTTTTGCATGCATGCAAGTCGCGCTGCAGGTCCGTTGACGTGTTGGGGCTTTGTCTGCAAGCCCGCGCGGAGGGCCGCGTCTTCTCAATTGTCTTCCTCGGCATCAACGGCGTCGGGAAGTCCACCAACCTCGCCAAAGTCGCTTACTACCTGAAACACGTGAGCAGCAGCAGCAGCAGCAGCAGGAGTAGCAGCAGCAGCAGCGGCAGCAGCTGCAGCAGCAAGAGGAGGAGCAGCAGCAGTAGGAGCAGCAGTAACTGCCGCGGCAACAGCAAGCGTAGCAGCAGCAGCAGCAGCAGCCACAGCAGCAGCAGCAGCAGCAGCAGCAGCAACAGCAGCAATTTGCATGCGGGCCTGTGGGGCTGCAGGCTGCTGGGGTGCACGTACACCCGAGTTGGGCTGCATGCATGCGCGCAGAAAGGAGGCTTAAATGTCTTAATTGCTGCATGCGACACTTTTAGGGCTGGAGCCGTCGAGCAGCTCCGGACGCATGCAAGGTCCTGCTGCTGCTGCTGCTGCTGCAAGAGCTGCTGCTGCTGCTGTTCTCGCTGCTGCTGCTGCTGCGAATGTTGCGGCTGTGCGTCGTGCTGCTGCTAGGTTTCTTCTGACGCGGCCGCTTTCGCCGCTGTTCTCGCTGCTGCTGCTGCTGCTGCTGCTGCAGCTCCTGCTGCTGCTGCTGCTGCTGCAGCAGCTGCTGCTGCTGCTGCTGATTGGCTTTGGCGTGGAGTTTGCTGCTGCAGGTGCCTGGAAATTCCCCTTTTTGAAAAGGGCTACGGCAAAGACGCAGCAGCAATTTGCAAAGAAGCTCTTGCGCATGCAAAGGAGACTGGGGCTGACGTCGTTTTGGTCGACACTGCGGGCCGCATGCAGGTGCCTCCCGCTGCTGCTAGTGCTGCTGTTCTTGCTGCTGCTGCTGCTGTTCTTGCTGCTGCTGCTGCTGTTCTTGCTGCTGCTGCTGCTGTTCTCGCTGCTGCTGCTGTTTCGAGTGAAGCAACGGGATTTTGCTGCGGTTGTGGCGTTGCTGCCTTTTCATTCTTCCTTTTTTCTGGGGAGCTGCTGCTGCTGCTTTTGCTGCTGCTGCTGCTTTTGCTGCTGCTGCTGCTTTTGCTGCTGCTGAAGAGCCCCCTTTGCTGCTGCTGAGGAGCCGCCTTTGCTGCTGCTAAGAAAGCCTTCTTTGCTGCTGCCGGGGCTTCCTTCTGCTGCTGCTGCGGGCGGGGCGTGCTGCTGCTTGGGCGGCGTTGCCGGTGAGTGGCTGCTGCTGCTGCTGCGTGTGCTGCTGCTGCGGTGGGGTGTACGTACACCAGGACAACGAGCCTTTGATGCGGGCGCTCGCGAAACTTGTGGATTTAAATAATCCAGATTTAATTCTTTTTGTTGGAGAAGCTCTTGTGGGAAACGACGGAGTGGACCAGCTCAAGAAATTCAACCAGGCGCTCGCCAACAACCCCACCAAAGTCAGGCCCTGCTGCTGCTGCTGCTGCTGCTGCTGCTCCTGCTGCTGCTGCTCCTGCTGCTGCTGCTGCATGCATTGTGGCCTCAATTGCTTTTTTTTGCACAGGGCTCCGCCCCCCGGCTGATAGACGGAATTCTGCTGACGAAATTTGACACAGTGGATGACAAGGCAAGAATGCCAAACCCTGAACCCCTAAACCCTAAACCCTAAACCCTAAATTCTAAACTCCAAAGCCTAAACCCCAGCCCTAGACACCAAACCCTGCATTTCACGCTGTGCCTATGCACAAGCAAACATTACCAGGCCTTGCAAGCCCCAACAGTAGCAAGGCCCAGGGTTTAAGGCTAGGGTTTAGGGTTTAGGGTTTAGGGTTTAGGGTTTAGAGGTTTTGGCGGGCCTGCAGGTAGGAGCTGCCCTTAGCATGGCTTACATCACGGGGCAGCCAATTGTCTTCGTGGGCACTGGCCAGAAGTACCAAAACTTGAAAAGGCTCAACGTAAGTTTAACGCAATTGCATGCAACTGCATGCATGCATGCATGCATTGCATGCAACTGCATGCATGCAGTTGCATGCATGCAGTTGCATGCATGCGTTGACGTGCTTGTGTCGTTATTGAGAAGCTGCTGCATCTAGGGCGCGTTGAGGGGTTTAGGGCAGAGGAGAGAGTCAGCAGCAGCAGCAGCAGCAGCAGCAGCAGCAGCGGTGGCGTTGCTGCTGCTGCAGCTGGGACGCATGCATGCGGAACGAATGCATGCGGCAGGAGCAGCTGAGGTGCATGCATGCAGCAGCAGCAGCTTTACCTGACTGAGTATCTGGGGGAAGAACTGCTGCGTTTTTGCTGCTGCTGCTGCTGCTGCTGTTTGTGCGCTGCTGCAGCCCGACGTGGTGGTAAACAGCCTTCTTTCTTGACTGGATCTGAACTTGAATTAAAGCTTCAATTAAATTCTTTTTATTTAATTTTCAAAAGTTTTATTTAAAATTAGATTAGAAAAAGAACTCAAATTCAAATGAGAAAACGAATTCGAATCGGATGTTCAACTTGAACGAAAATTCAAATTCAAATTCGAGACTGAATTTCAAATTGAATTGGATTTAAAATTAAAATCAAATCAGATTTAATTTAAATTAGATTTAAAATTGAACTGGAATTCGAAAGTGAATTCCAAATTGAATTAGAACTACGGACTGAAGTGGAAGTTGAATTTAAATTCGAATTTAAATTCAACTTCAAAATTAAAATAGTTTTATTTTGAATTTGTATTTAGAATTAAATTTAAATTTAAATTGGAATTTGAGTTCGAATTAAAATTAAAATTTAAATTTTGTTTGGAAATAGAGTTTAAGTTCAGATTTGAACTGCAGTTCAAACTAGAATTAAAACTGGAATTAAAAAGAAAAATTGAAGTTCATTTTAATGCATTTCGAAAAGAGCTGCGTAGGCCGCAGGCCCTTTTTTGTTTAATTGAAATTAAGAATGTTTTTTGCTGCTTTTTTCATTTGTTTGCTGCTGCCCTGGGCCAGCAGATGGTGCTGCTGCTGCTGCACTGCAGCAGCAGTAGCAGCATCGAGCAGCAGCTCTGCAGCAGCCCCTGCTGCACCAGGCCCACAGTGAGGCCACCAGCAGCAGCAGAAGCAGCAGCAGATGCAACAGCAGCAGCAGCAGTAGCAATAGCAGCAGCTGCTGCAGTCGTTGGGTAATTTTAGCTGCTGCTGCTGCAGTGGAGTCGGCCCCTCGGGGCAGCTGAATTTGCCAGTATTGAGAGACTTTAATTCTTTTGAAACTGGCCACTAGAAAAGTCTTTTGTGCGCACTTGGCGCCTCAAGTGGGGTGTACACACACTGCACGAAAACTTGAACTAACGCTTCCAGTGTTGAACTTGAACGGGCTGGTGGCTCGCGAGGCTAGATGACCCGAATGCTCTTTATTTTTCATGAAACTACCTTTAAATGAGGCATAACTGATCTTGAATTAGTTAAAAAGGTGAAAATTAGGGAATTGTGCCCGATTTCTCGTGCAGACCGTCGCTAGTAGCTGCTGCAGCGAGAAAGCGCATGCAGACCGAAGCTGTTCTGAGCAGAGCCCTCAACGGGACTTCTCGCAATAAAAGTTTACTATTTCCCTTACTATATTTTTTAATATTAATTATTAATTATTAATTCTAAAATGATATATTTGGCAGCTCCTGGTGCAGGCGTTTCATATTCTACTGCCGGACAGCCCGTCACTGCGCCTTGGACTTCCGGGAGCCACCCGGAGGAACTTGGACTTTTTAGGGGGAAACCTGCGGCATTTTCGAATTGTTTTTTGCAAATTTGCATTATTTCAGAAGCTTCATGCAACTGACTCGGTGATCACTTCGGAGGCGCTTCAATGGGCGCGGTTTGGGGTCTGTCTTCGCGCCGAGGCTGGGCGCCTCCCGCAGGCGCTCTCCCGCCCGCGGGCGGCCGCTAGAGAGGACCAGTGGTCCACTTGAGTTGTGCATTTGCGTTTGCTGCTGTGATGGGGAGCGCTGTGGAGGAGTTTGTGGAGCTGCACGAGGCGCTGCTGGGCGAGGAAGCAGCAGCAGAAAAAGCTGAGCTCGAGGAGCTGCTGCAGAGCCTCTCGCTGCAGCAGCTCGCGGACTCCGGCGTGGCGCTGCCGCGGCTAGTTGTGACTGAAGTCAGTTCGGGCCTATATGGCCGCACGCTGGTGTCATTTACCTGCAAGCGTGCTGCTCTGCAGCAGCTGCACTCCTTCCCGCAGCAGCAGCAGCAGCAGCAGCAGCAGCACCGGCTCTCCCCGGGGGACATTGTGGGCGTTTTCCCCTACGACAGGCCCATTGCTGGCAGCAGCAGCGCAGTGGCCTCTGGAGTTGTCCACAAGATTCTTCCTTGGGGAGTAAGTGTGGCTTTTGACGAAGCTGCTGCTAACACTTGGCTGAAGCAGCACGGGGGGGCCCCCGGGGGGGCCCCCCGGGGGCCCCCTGGGGGGGCCGCCCGGAGGGAGGGCCCCCCGGGGGGCCCCGCGGGGGCCCCCGGGGGCCCCTGGGGCCCCGTCTATACCCTTTGTTTGGTGGCCAATGAAGTTACAATTAAAAGACAAAAAGCTGCGTTGCGCCGTTTGCTGCTGGACAGCTCCGAGAGCAGTCCCGCGCAGCACTTGGTGTCAGTTTGCTTCGGGAAGTCTCGGCCGCGGTTCTTGCCTTTTCCTGCTGCTGC